TCCTTCCTTCCTTCCTTCCTCCTTTTACCCACCTCCTTCCTTCCTTCCTCCTTTTACCCACCTCCTTCCTTCCTTCCTCCTTTTACCCACCTCCTTCCTTCCTTCCTCCTTTTACCCACCTCCTTCCTTTCTTCTTTTACCCACATCCCTCCTTCCTTCTTTCCACTTTCCTTCCTTCCTTCCTTCTTTCCTTCCTTCCCCCACCTCCTTCCTCCCTCTGTCCCTTCCTTTCTTCACCTACCTTTTTTCTTCCTTGTTCCTTCCCTCCTCCTCCTCCTCAGCTTTAAAACTTTAAAGTAAACGATGACTCACTCGACATGGTGGACGTTTTCTCCACCTTTCTGCCAGACGTAGGTCATGTTGGGGGGGTCGGACACTGCCTGGCACTGCAGMAGTGCATCCTGGGACATGTTGAGCCAGGTGTTTTTAGGTGGAACAAGGATGACAGGCGGGCCTAGAGACGAGCASAAAACAAAGTTATTCAAATTTCTTTCATTCCTTGAGGAAACATTAATTTAATWCAAAGACTTCATGTAATCTGTTTGTGCTCAGAGTGTCTGATGGGGATGACTCTCAGCTACTACCACTCTGGACTTCAGTTCAATAGCTGTCAAATTAATGAAATTATGGTATTTTTGTGTTTGCTACRTTTGATTAGCTGTGGCTGCCATCTTTAGTCAGATCAACTCTAAAAGTTAAACAGATGTTTGTACAAAAATAACATGATAAGAAAACGTCTAATTTTCAGTCCAAACTAATAGAAATAATAAATTCTGCCTCCTTCCTGTCAGGGTTTCAGCTTGTTTTTGATTGATCACCTTCCACAGGTGTCAGGCTTTGATTTCCTTCGTTTTTTCGTATTTTCCAGCTCGTCTGCTCTGCACTTCAGTTTCACCCCTCATCTTTTTTTTAATTTTATTTTATCTTTTTATTCCTCACAGTTGCTCCTGTCCGTACAGTTTCTGTCAGCTCCAGTCCACATCGGTCTGGTCTTCAGACCCCACAGAACGGATGAGTTTAAGAAACGAGTCTAGTTTGGATTTTTATTGGTTGTTTTTCCGTAAGTTCTATAAATTTCATGATTTGTCTAATGTGTGCAAATTTTAAAATGATTCATTTAAAAAAATCATTGATTTCATTCTAACAACCGCCTTAACACAATTTTAGCTCTTAGTTAATCAAAACATTCAGGAGACAGGTTCTATAACTTTGTGACTTTTATACTTTTCTTTAATTCCTTTCTTTTTACAATTTTTCACTTTCATTCTGCTACTTTTAGTTTTCAGCTTTGATTCTTAAAGCTTCTAGCTACCATTCTGCTATTTTTAGTTGATCTTTTGCAACTTTTAGCCGCTCTGCTTCCACTATCTACACTTCTGATTTTAGTAATTGTTMGTTTTGCAGAGTTGGCGAAATAAAAACAAAAATAGTGGTAGATGCGAGGGATGCTCTGTGGAGCGGGAGCTTGGCTCCGGACTGAGCTCGTGGAAATAGGCGGAGCTTTGTACCAGCAAGAGTATAGGCAGGTCCATGTGGGATCTCTACAAGAGATTCAAGGATTTTTCAAACATTGAGTCAAAGCATCACTCTGGGTATGTTTTCGATAAGGGAATTAAAACATGATATAAAGCTCAAAAAAGACGATTTTGCACAACACCCCCCCCCCTTTAATAAAATGGTGCTGTATGTGCAACAATAAATTTTCCCAAATGTATCAAATCTAAACAGCCTGCAGCATTTTTACAGCTGAAGTAAATGTTAATCAAATAATGTCTAATATTCCAACCAGTCAGGTTCCCTTTAAAAGCAGAGTATACTGAGGACTCGTGGGCTTTAAATCTCAGACAGCAGAGTGGTCTTATGATGACCTGATTATTTACTGAATCAACACGTGAGCACTTAGCAAAGAGGCAGAAAAAACCCGACACTTCTGTACGCACCGACACTCATAATCTCCGCAGCGGTCGTTACACATCAGGGTTATAATCTGATGTGCATGACGGACGTGTTAGCAAAGGTCAGTAAAGGCTTTCAGACCCGCTTTATCTAATCAGATATTAGTCTGTGTTAATCCACTCATCTGACAGCGCTGCAGGGAAACACAGCCAAAGCTCAGATTAACTGATTTGCACCGTGAGGATTATTAGTTATAAATGTGTTGGTGTCCACGGCGAGCTTCAGAAATGAAGCAACATGTCGATGAGGCTACAAGCTACAGAGACCTGGTCCTCCTGAGGGAC